GCGATTCAATTTTCGGAGTTGAAATAGTGGTGTTCTTCGCGTGATCCAAATTTTTCGTCGATTGACAAATCTTTAAGCGATGATCTCTTAGGAGTAGCTTCCCTACCGCCTTATGATACCTTGGTTCAATTTTGGTGGCAGTTGGATTTGATTTGGTCGCAATTCGGGCAAATTTGTGTTTTTGGCGATTTTCGGGAGCTCTGTCCCGCAGACCGCAGACAGTCTGTGCCCCTGACAGTCCGGCAGTCGGGGTCGGGAACAGTGAAGATCGGGTGCCTGTACTGTGTTGCTTCAGCACAGGCGCGGACAGTCTGCCCCTAAGACGCGGACAGTCCGCCGCTGTACTGAACAATGTAGACCAGAACTGTTTTTCATCGTGTGTTTTCTGAGAATTTGCTGCGGACAGTCCGGGCCCTGACCGCGGCAGTCCGCCGCTGTGGTGAAAATTCTGGGCAGAACTGTTTCTCATCTTTAGTTTTCGAAGTTTTAGCCGACGGACAGTTCGGCGCAGACCGCGGACAGTCCGCACCTCTTCACGCAGACAGTCCGCACTTGGCCCGCGGACAGTCCAGCCCTGTGCAGTCTTCTCTGATTTGGGTCGTTCCGTCAAGGTCTCGGCTTGGTTGGTTCTCGAGGGTCCCGCTGTGTCTTTTGGTCATCGCCATAGATATCCAGCCACATAGTTGGCTCGTGGATCTCTCCTGTCTTGTGCGTTCTGCTTTTGGGGTTGATTTTAGGACAGCGACCCAAGTTTTCGAAAGAAATTTGAGGCTTCCATGCACCCCCTCTGGTCACCGTTTCGGTCCTTCAAGTTTTTCTCCCTCGCCACCAACAAAACAGTTAGTGTAGTTAACACGTACGTGCCGCACATGTAGTAATACCCTTTTCTCCCACTGTTGAGTGCAACTATGACATTTATTTTGTTGGAAAAGTCTTGGACGACATTAAATTTTCAATAGATGTTTGGTCATTCGCGGGGTGCCCAAGGTATGTACCCTACATTTACTTATGTGAAGTATAAAGTAAACTGATTATGTATCTTGCTCTATATGTCGTTGAATATTTAAAAATATAGAGTACCATGAGCCAGCTAGTTGGAATAGGAAGTGTTTATGACCAAGTATTAAAGTGGCTGCTACCTTATCACTACTACAGAATGTTACTGTAGGGGCGGCTCTAGAGCTTCTGTAGGGGCGGCTGCGCCAGCCGTCCTTCACAGGGTGTTTCTACAGAGGGTGTCTCTGTAGGGGCGGTTTTCTGACCGCCCCTGCAGTGCCCTCTGTAGGGGCGGCTGGTATTTTCAGTCGCCCCTATAGTGCCCTCTGTAGGGGCGGCTGGTAATATCAGCCGCCCCTATTGTGGACTTCTGTAAAGGCGGCTGTATCACTAGCCGCCCCTGCTGTGTGTATTTGTAAGGGCGGTTCAATCAAGAACCGCCCCTACAGTGGATTTTCCAACAAAAAAATAAATAATTCAAATTCAAATCTGACCATATATATATATACAATTCAAATTCGAATCTGACCGCCACAAATATACATATATACATCCACAAACACAAGACCATTATTTAGAACATCACCACAAGTCATAATTCACAAAAGTCCATCATGCAAAACAAAGTCCAAACCGTTCCAAAGTCTGATCCAAACCATACCACAAGTCCACATTGTCATCAACGACCTAGGGCTAGCCTATCAGTCTCCCGAAGATGTTGGTATAGAGGATTACTACCTAAGTCGGAAAGAAGATGATGGTAAGTGCCTTTATAGTACACAATCTGGTCCATTATAAAGTTGCAAAGGTCGCCGATCATCTCTAAGAGCTCATCATCCTTGTATGGGTTCCTTCTCGTATCTTTATCTTTCTCCAACTATAAGAGAACAAGTTTAGGTTTATTATATCACAACATATGCGAACTTTTCATACTACGAGCGAAGAGCTTCAAACTTACCAGATTGGGGTTTCTGTTGTAGCCACCGATGCTACTCATCATAATACATGTGTAGTATCCACAATGTAGACTCCCAGGCTTCTGCTTGGGGCACTGTGTGTTTTGCATATGGAAATGTTAAGTAATGCTATTGACAGACACGTAATATATGGAGTACCAAAGTAAATGACACTTACACGCACATAGAGTTTTGACATACAACTTTTCCTTCCTATTTGGATGATGCCTCCCTTATGTTCCTGGACATAGTGCATGAATGCCCTGTTCCAATGGTTTTAGCAAATACAACTTGTTAGTATCCCACATTGAACCTTACAAGTATGTATACAAACATAGTAGCTAAAATAAGAATTGTCAATATGTATACGTCTTGACAATCGCTATGAAGTCTTTGTATGTCTGGACTGGGAAATCCGCTGAATCAAAGACCCATGCCATGCTATGTGAGAGCCAGACGCCTATGCAAATCCAGTGATCGCTGCATGAATTTAGTCATAGAAGGAACACATAAGCTCTTTTGCATCGAACAAAGTATATTGAACAAAGCTAAGTATACAGTCGAACTTACTTGAAGTGGTATGGTATCCATATATTATCGTGTTGTTGGAGATTTTTAAAACATAGGGCAATGTATGCCGCAACCTTGAGGGACTCTTCCAATATTTTCTTGTTCCTGATGTCCTCTTTCTCCTTAAATGTCTTTCCAGCTCCTAGTTCTTTGCAATCTAGTTTCCAATCTTTAGGGTAATTAAAATTTGTTGATGCTATAGGTGAAGGGTCTATATACCTGTGTTTCAGAGATGGCCTCTTTTTCACAAAGTCTACTTTCATTCTACAAATCACGACGCGGGTTAGTTACAACAAAATTAAAAGATTACATTTGTATCATATCGAGGGGCAAGGACTTACAGGCACCATATGCGAATTAGATTCATTTCCATTCGTCCGAGGTGGAAGCATGCCTGGATATCCCTAAACTCAACGGCAATTTGCCCACCTGGGGCTCCAAATGTGCCGACAGGGATCCATGCTTGTAAGATTTCTAGTTCTGTTATCTGAGCACGCAAGTAACAATCATGGAACTTTCTCATTCCACGTGGCAAGCACTGTATGACTCGGTTTGGTATGAAGTTCTTGCCTTTTTCATATTTATCCGAGCAATCATTTGACCATTTGAGGTTATCAACAGTTGGATACTTGTTAAACCCTTTGTGCAGTTTGCTAGTGGTGCCCTCCTCAGAAGCTGGTGCTCTAAATTCTTTTACTTGGTTCTTAGGCTTGAACTGGTCATGGGCCATCCACTTGTGCACCGACGAGATGTCATTAATGCCCACATACGATGGTCTTATCTTGATTGGGATTTTGTTTCGAGCTTCCCATTCGGGCACGTCCTTGTCAACTTGTGCATCACCTGCTCTAGGGGCCACTTGTTCTTCACGTATCGGCTGTTCACGAGGCAATTGCTGTTCATGAGACACTTGTTGTTCATGTATCGGCTGCGCTTGTTGAGAAGGATGTTGCATCTCATCATTCCTTTGCTCGATATGAACTGGAGAAGGACGTGGCATGTCATCATGCCCATGCTCGATACGAGGTGAAGGATGTGGCATGTCATCATGCCCTTGCTCGGTACGAGGTGGAGAAGTCTCTAGCGTGTGGTGGTCATGGTCATGGGCCGGTGAGTATACCTCCCTGTCCTCGACGGGTCGCTCCAGAGGATGAACTTCAGTTGGAGTTGGCAAAGACTCGGTCAATACAATGTCCCGTCTGTGCCAGAGGATGAATTGGTTCATGACGTCTCCGAGTAACACAAGCCCCTTGGGAGTAGGGTGTTCTATCTTCCAAGTCATGAACTCGGGCTTCACGGTATACACCTCGACCCAAGTGTAGTCCTGCGGGATGTCCCTATTGTGCCACGTGTCGCCCGGAGGATGTGCCATGCCCGTTGCCACCTCAATGATCATGTTTTCCCTGCCCATCGGAACCACCAATTTGTAACTAGTTGGCACCCGTATGCGATCGACGGGGGTTCCGGTTGCATTGGAATCTTGACTGCTGGGAACATCCGGAGGGCTGCCAACTACCGCCAGTTGTCCGGGCAGCCCCATTGGTGTCTGTGGCTCCATCGTAGATAGTCCTTTCTCCACCAACATCTTTTCAACTAGAGCCTTCACTTGGCGCTCAAGATTAGACTCTCGGTCTCTGCCATGTTTCTTGTACATGTGCCTCTCCTCTACGAATCCGTGCTTCCAGGACATCCTCTTCCCTAGCCCCCTGGTGCGTCCTATGTGCTCGAGGTTTCCTAAGGCAACGGTAAGCTCGTCCCTCTCTCTGGAAGGGTTGAATGCGCCCTTCTCCTTGTCTTCAGCAAGTTTCAGTATCTTTGATACTACCTCTCCGGTCTCCGGCTTAGCAAACTTGAGGCTACTACCGGATGAATCGACACTCCTCGCGTATATCCACTGTTTGAGGTGTGGCTTCAACTTTGGCACTTCCGTATTCCAGGCAGCTTTAGCCTCTGCGTCCATCTTCCTAAAGACCTCTTGCTTGTCAGCGTAGCCACCGGGGCCTAGACGAGGGTAGTGTTGGTTCTTCTTCGCCTGCTCGCTGTTACGGGCACTGAGATGAACAGTTTACAGGGAGATATCACAATTAGATTATGATGCTCAGTTAGCTCTTGAGATGAACAGTTTACAGGGAGATATCACAATTTTTTCCCAAAAAAAAGGCCGAGAAAACCCCGAACCCCCCCCACCCACCCTTACACGGTGGCTTTCCGTCGCCCAAGTGAGAATTGGGACGGTGCCAGTTAACGAACAATCATACAGAAGCATAAAGGGAATTATGAGTACAGTTACAAGTGAACGTTATATTCATAATTGCTCCATACATAATTTTAGCAAAAAAAGAGAACATAAAAGGCTATGCCTGTTTGCATACATGCATTTTAATTTAATTTTTTGGGTATCATTCACCACTAATTTCCATCCATGCATGTAGTGGCTCCAATGCCATAGCTTCAGAAGGTGAAGACAGTGTAAATGAAATGGTACTGAAAGGAAGAAGCAAAGATGCAAGAAACAAAGATGAAATATCCCAAGCTGTACACAGCGATCCAGGTGCTAATGCATGTAGCTTTCATGTTTTAATCTCTTTTACTTGTACATGCATATATATTAGACTGCTACATCCATGCATGTAGTGATGATACTGTAGTTGTACGGTTTATAGGCTCTGCTTTGGTTGGGAAGTCAGAGACTGAAGATGCCTGTCACCATGGCCTAGTTGAACCAACTATAAACACTAAGGAGGCTTTGGATGCCATCAATGGCATGTTTATGGAGCCACTGGAACCTGAAACTATTCTCAAGAGGTGATCAAAGCGTGAGAACCCAAATTATAATCAGCAAGCAAGTGCATTTGATATCTTTGTTGATGATGTTGAACCTAGTGGCAATGATACAAATATGCTCCAGAACAACAGTGTGAAGCAAGACCATACAAAATTAAGTCAGCAAACAAGAGGATTTGAGATCTTTGTTGATGAGGATGGTCCTATTGGCAACAACCAAAATGGAACACAAAACAGGAACTCTAGAAAGGAAAACATGAAGTTAAATCAGGAACCAAGTGTGTTTGAGATCTTTGTTGATGAGGATGGCCCTAATGGCAACAACCAAAATGCGTGGCAAAACAGGAACTGTGGGAAGGAAAACATGAAGGTAAATCAGGAAAGCAGTGGGTTTGAAATCTTTGTTGATGAAAATGAGGCTAATGGCACTGTCCGGAATGCTATGTGCTACAAGAGTAATAGGTATCCTCCAAGACCATTATCTGAGTCATCTCAGCATCAAGGCGAAAGTGACTTCCAAAAGCCATTTGTTGGATGGTTTGCAATATTGCCAGATGATGAAGGACAATGTGAGGAAAGTTATGGTGGTGCTAATATAATTTCCAGAACTGTGCAGCCTACTCATGATACTAGTACTTTGCTCTGTCCAGTTCAAGGTAATTCAGGAACAAGGAATCGTGAAGGTCCTCATCCTGTGACTTCTGGGATTCGAGAAGACACTGTCATTCGTAGGTTTGTTGGATCCACTATTGATGATGAGCCTAAGGTGGAAAATGCATGCCACCATGGGTTAGTTGATCCAACTGTCAATCTAAAGGAAGCAATGGATGATATAAACAACATGTTCGGAAAACCACTGAACTTCAAGGGTGAAAGAACAAAGAGGGAGACTAATGCACAGTCAGATGGAAAAGCAGCTCCAGCTTCTGGTTTCTCCATATTAGCTGATGATGACCTAAAAGAGATCTCCACCAGCAAAGCCAGTCAGAGCAATTTCTGCAGATTTGGGGATGAGAATGGTCTATTTGAACCCACAATCACCACTCGTGATGTCATGGCAGAGATCAACGATATGTTTGGAATGCCACTAGACTTGTAAGATGCATGTTTAGAGTGAACTGAATAACTCAACTGCTAGTTGGACAACTGCTTTCACCTTTCAACTCTCCCCTTGAGAAATGTGCAGTCTTGCTGATGTGAAGAGCATGGAATCAGTTCCCTTATTTGGTGCATAGATGGTGTGCATTTTCTTAAATTGTGGTCAAATGTTTATTGTTCACATTGATCAATCTTGAATATGTGGTATGTGTCTAATTTTGCCATTAAATTAAGTTGTCTAAAATATAACTGTAAAATTGCTGCTTTGTTTTTGCTAGTAATATTTCTTTAACAATTACTCTGAAAATGTTATGTGGTTTGGTGATTGTTGGTGTGAAACCTTACAGCTGCACTGTGGCACAGGTGGAGATCACAACAGAATGTTAGGATTTTCAGGTCGTTCAACCGCAGAGAAATGCCGAATTACCACTTCTTGTGGAGTTGCCACCGCCAATCTACCACTAATATAATTTATCTACTCAAGTGAAGGGAAGGGGGCGTAATTTGTTACAGGCCACCAGGTGATTCCTGTGGTGCTGTCACATAACGCCGACATAGTGATTTTGGCTTACATGTTGGCTCAAAACTTTTTTTTATGCTGAAAAAACTGAGACTTGTGTATTTGATGGAAATTGTAGCAAGCATGGGTGCATATGTTGCTCTTGCTCTGTTCGTTATCCATAGTTGTGCTCATAAAAAAAGAAAAAAAACATTGTCTGATGTCCATTTTAATTGTTTCAACCATTCTATCATCTCAGCATGATTAGGCTGCAGTTCAAGCACAGCAATAAAATCTTGCAATCGTGGAGCTAGAGACAAACATCAGATTTAGCAGATAAGTGTTGCATTGTATATGTACAGCTTCAACAGGCATCAAATCAGAGGACTGAAGATGACGACGACGGCCTAACTGAAAGCCTTGAAACCTAGCGACGCATCGGCCGACGGCCGGGAAGGAGGAGGGTCGCATTGACTAGGGAAACAGAGAGGAGACGAAAAATGGCAGGAAATAGGAGGATGGAGGAGATCTCACCAGGGTCGTTGAGGTCGGGGAGCACCGGCTTCGTCGGAGAAGTGCCCGTGGCGGCTGGCCTGCCTGCTGCGGGCGCGCGGAAACTGAGCGAAACAGGCTCCCAAGCCGCGCGAAGGAGCGATGCGCCGACGACGGACCCTAGCCGCGCGCCGTGGGAGCAGACGGACGGGCCGCGCCGAGGAGCGCTCCCAAACCCTAGCCGCCGTCGCGGCCTGGGGAACGGCGATGGATGGGGCGGGGGCAGCGGTTGGGGTCAGGGATACGGTGGAGGAGGCGGTGGAGGGGTCAGGGAGGGGCAGGCGACGGCGGTGCAGGTGCGGCGGTGCGGCGGCGCCGGCGACGAAATTGGGCAGCGTGACGGCATTGTAATATACCTCAGCGCCCAACACTTAGCGCCCACGGGGCCGGCATGTTTATATACCTCAACGCCACTGTAGGGGCGGCTGAGGTTATAAGCCGCCCCTACAGTTGAATTTTTTCAAAATTCTAAATCAAAATTAATTATTCACACTAAATAATAAATAATACAGTACAAAATTTTATAATTATTTTTTATAGATATATTTACATATACAATAACTAAAACAACTACAACAGTTTAAAATTACAAAATTGAACCTTTAAAATTACAAAATTGAACCTTTAAAAAATGACAAGTTCGAACCAAAATTTGAGACCCAAAATGATTTCAACATAAAAAGTGATGAATACCAAAGTTGTTCAACTCATTAATATTTATTAATGTCAAGGGTGAGGCCGATGGAATATATCACCCACATCAGTTTAAATCTATCAAATACAACTTTAATCTTTCCAAATCCTAGCTATTGTTTACCTACCATCTCTATTGGTGTTCTAGCTGGCTTGCCGATGCTAGAACAAATAGGTGTACACATATGCCCTGAAACGGTTCCTCCGGGGCAAGCATTCAATGGATTTATCGAAGATCATTGGTGAAACTGGAGGTTCTAGATTTCAATATCAGAAACTTTGAATCTTGTTGTGTGATATAGCACAATGTAGTGCCAACACACTTTTCGGTGACTGCGCTGGGTGAAAGTCAAAGAATTTACCAGCTACCGTGTCTGATCCTAAGGGTGATTTGAATGAAGAACATCATCATCAGGCCCTCTGAATAACTTCGTGAGGAGATTCGCAAGATGATGGAAAACAAGAAGAGGGCATATGACAAAGCCAATTTGGAGCTAAGATGTTGACGCTGATTTCGGTTAACTTAGTTTGCTTAATTTGGAGCTCCTAGTTCTCTACTTGTTCCACAACATTTGAAGCTAAGATGTTGACGCTGATTTCGGTCAACACATTGGTAGGGGCTAAATCGTCCGAGGTCACACATGCCCTAAATATGAGAAGCGAAGGTAGGTCTAAATGACGAGACCAACTGACACATCCAAGAAGCTGATTCAATGCTTGTTTTCACCCGAAAACCGCCACAAACATCTCCTGGGAAGACCCATCGGGAAGATGCACAATATGGGTGACCGAGGATTACAAGCTCACCTAGAATGCCATCAAATCTCATCGAGAGAAGTGCTAGAAAGCTATAAAGATAGATATGTTTTTGACGATTGGATAGATGGATCTCTCAATCGGTCATGATCATCTCATATAAATAGAAGAGGTGGTCTTATCTAAGTTGAAAACTTATTCCACACGTAATTTATAAGTTCAAACCAAATTTTCAAACCCTAAATGATTTCAGATGTAAAAGTGATGAATACAAAAGTTGTTCAACTCATCAAGATCTACAAGTTTTATTTTGGTTATCTTGTCATTTGACTAAATTTGAACCTTTCAAATTTTGAAATTTGAAAAAAGACAAGTTGAAACCATAATTTGGACCCCCAAATCATTTCAACTGAAAAAGTAATGAATACCAAAGTTGAATAACTCATGGAGATCTACAACTTTTATTTTGGTAATTTCATAATTTGATAAATTCTTAGTACACATTGTTCACACAAACATACGTGAATGTAGTCTCAAACACACACACACACATAAATATAGTTTCAAACACACATACATAAATGTAGTCTCACATACATAAATGTAGTTTCACACACACATACATGAATGTAGTCTCACACACACATACATAAATGTAGTCTCACACACACATACATGAATGTAGTCTTACGAACACTGACACACTTACATAAACTAGCTAGCCCACCGTGACAACTTTTCCCTTGACACCTTTTTGTTCCCATGGCAATACATCTTTGGGCAGGTTCTTTTCCACAGCCTCGATCTTACAAAAGTCTGTGAATAGCGGCATCTCATCACACTTATTGTAAACTTCAACATCATCCATGCCATCAACTCCAATGATATGTTGTTTCATGGAGGCCACCACGTGCTTTGTCTTCTTCTTTGGGGGAGGTTACTTTGCGGGTCGGGCATATAGAAGACTTGCGCGACACGTTCAGCGAGCACCCAAGGGTCATCCTGGTAGCCTACATTCTGGAGGTCGATGACTCTCTGTCCGATCTCATTGAATTGATGTTGCTTGATCCAGCGGCATCGAAACAGGGCCACCTTTATATCCCTTCCATAGTCAAGTTCTCATATATCTTCAATTATGCCAAAGTACAGGACCTTTCGCCCCACTCCGTCGAGAGCCTCTATTCGGACGTCGCTGTTCTGATTCACAGATTTCCTATCCTTTGTGTCAGTATAGTATGTGTACCCATTGATGTCATAAGCATTCCAAGACGTCACCTATTTTGATGGCCCGGCCGCCAACCGACTGATGGTAATAGAATCTATGGTTTCTCCAGGCTGTATGTTCTGGTCCTTCAACCATGATGTCAGGTGTTGCTTATGTTGTTTCATGACCCAATCATCTGAACGGCCATTCCTCTCGGCCAAAATGATAGCCATGTGTTCATCAATGTACGGTTGCATCACTGCCATACTCTACAAGACACTGTAATGCGCCCGACTCACCTCTCTGTAATCATTATCGAGGAACACTTTCCTACCACTTGTGCCCTTCCCAGCTAGCCTTCCCTTGTGACGAGAATCAGGATTACCAATCCCTCTCTGTACTTTTAGCCACTCTTGGCAGCACTCGATGACTTCTTCGGAATTGTAACCCTCTATCATGGAGCCCTCTAGGTGTGTTCGGTTATGCACGTATCAGCTTAGAACCGACATGAACCGCTCGTAGGACCATATTTCATGCAAGAAGCTAGGGCCCAGCACCTCGATCTGATGAACCAAGTGAATCATGAGATGTACTATTATATCAAAAAAGCGAGAGGTAAACACATCTCTAGCTGGTTCTGGGTCTCCACCATGAATTCATGTAGGTCACTCAGCTCTTGCCTGTGAATCGTCTTCTGTGAGATCTTCGAAAAGAAGTAGCACATGCGGGTGATGGCCATCTTTAGGAACTCGGCTTTATATACGATTGCAATTGGTAGGAACCTTCATCGACATCACATGCCAATCATGTGCCTTTGCAGATATGTTAATGATAGGTCCTTCATCGACACTAGCTTCTTGGGTTCGCAAAAACCCAGTCGGCACTCGACCCCCTAAGGAAATTGCATATAGCTCTCCTCTCCTCTAGGGTTAGGTTGAAGCTAGCAGCGGGAAGACTCAGACTTGCCATTATCTTGCTGTACCGCCAAAGCTCCGCATCACGTTCGGTTTTGCAACATGTCTTTCCATGATCTGAGACCATCCTTTGACTTGCCCGTGTCCATCAAGGTAGCCATGAGACTCTCAAAGACATTCTTCTGCACGTGCATCGCATCAATGGCATGGGGGACCTCCAAGTCTGGCCAATAAGGCAGGTACTGAAAGAATATCGATTGTTTCTTGAATGGTACGCCTTCGATGGGAGGTGTGCATCTATCTCTGATCGTTCCATCTGGATTCTTCTTTCCATAGACGACGTGTATGTTTTGGACCATTCTGAACACATGTTCTCCATTACG